TTGAAGCCAAATTGCAAAACCGCTAAACTGAGGGAGTTGAGGGGCTAAGTTGGCAGCCCTAAGGTGCCCAGAGTGTGCCCTGATGTGCTCGGAGCCCCCAGCATCAGAGAGGCAGGGCTGTAAGCAATAGGTCAAGATGGGGGCTCCTCTCTGGGAAAGCTGGTCAGGGGGTGATGCGGGTCTGTGTTCCCAGCGGCCCCACTCACACCCAGGGCAGTCAAATCCTCTGCTTTCCGTGACCCCTGAGCGTCCCGTCACTAAACTGAGCACACAGAGGGATCCAGTGTGGATAAAACACCACCTCTCCTTCTAGAACGGGGCCTCTAGGCTCGGGTCAGTGAGTGTGCAATGACCTGCTGACCCAGCCACACGCGCGGGAGGCATACTGCTGTCCCAGATAAAGGCCATATGACAAAATGGCTTCGGGAGTGGGGAACGGAGAGGAGCAGAGGCCCTCAGAAGGAGGACCACAGCCACCTAGAGGAGACTACACTCCTGGTAGAGGGAGCAGAAGGCTCTCTGCCTTCTCTGCTTTCAAAGAAGGCTCTAACCCCTTCCATAGACCTTCTGCCCCATGTGGCACTTAAGGGCTGAAGGAGGAGAGAAAAGTGGGGAGAGAGAGGCGTGTTCACGTGTCTCAGGGAGTCCGAAGCCCGCAGTCCTAGTTCAAGCTCACTCTGGCTTCCGCTCTGTCTCCACTCTGTCCCCTGGAGACCAGCATCATAATAATAGGGCACGACCTGGCACCACCGCCCAAGGAGGCTTCCCAGAAAGGTAGCAAATGATAATTAGTTCAAAGAGCTCTGGTGGCCAAGGGGTCTGAGTTGCCTGCTGTCTTGCTGAAGTCAGTAGAGAATTCTTTCCTACTGAAGGTTCCAAGCAGGAACCAGGAGGGGCAGTGGGAAGCGGCCCTCCTGGCTGGGGTGTTCTGCAGTGACTTGGGCTCTGTGCCAGGCGCAGTGTCCCTGGGGACCTGGGTCATGGTGGAGTGGCGGCTCATTTTGGAGCTTCAGCCAGCCAACCTTCAGGACAGTAGTGAGCAGGGGTCTGATCCTGAGTGCAAAGCCTACTCGGTTCCCCTCCTGCCTGTCCTGCCTTCAGTAACAGGGACACAGCCACCTTCCAGGCTCCCACGCCCCTCTCTGGACCTGCTCTGCTCTTCGCACACTGGAGGGCTTCCATTTGCCCCCAGCACCCAAGGTCAGAAAGACAGGGGCCAAACAGCGTCCACCAGGCCACAGCATGCCTGTCACCTGAGTCCTCGGGCCCCTCAGCTACCACACGGTTCCTAGAACACATGGGCCAGCGTTTGGTGTGCTCCTGGGGGGCTGGCCCCTTCCCCTTCATTCCCCAAGGGCTTTTCACTTCTCCCTCGCTTACAGTGACCTTCTCAACCAGACCTTCTCAGATTTTACAGCTTCCCAGCTCACAGGTACATCCTCCCTCCCAACTCTGTATCCTCCACCATTCCCGCACTGGTCCCCGCCATGTCACTGCCCAGCGCTGACTCCATAAACCAGGCACTGTGTTTCTTCTAAAGCTTCAGATTTCTAGCCCTTCCCGAGTTTCACAAGAAATCTGGTGTGTGTGTGTGTGTGTGTGTGTGTGTGCACGCGCGTGCGCACGCACACACCCCTGCGTTTCTTTAGATAAATCCAGAGTCACATGAAATCAGTGACAGTTTGACACCGTTATTTCAAGATTCATCGCTCTGAGTTGCCAGCACAGGAGACCTAGCCAACTCCTTCCCACCAACAACACTTTTTTTCCAAGCATAATTTATAGCAGTGGGGTGAATTTGTTTCCAAAAGATGAATATCACACTATCAGCAACAGCTGCCTCTCATTTTTATTTGTTTTTAAATTTGACTCAAAGTCCAATTCTCTATACACATCCGAAGCTGTAAATCCTAAGGCGACTGATTACATGATTTAGTAAACAGGTTATATTATATAATGCAATTAAAGTAGGGCTCCGAGGCGCCACCTACAGGCCGCTCCTGGGAAGAGAGCTGGGCCAGAGACTATCATTTTGGACGAGGCTCGAGGCTGAAGGAAAATAAACGGGATTGCACCAGGGTTGAGGCGGCTGCTCCTGAGGGAGAAGTTGCAGCCAGCCAGGTTACTAATGCAGCCTTTTGGTCCCTCCTGCTGAGTTCACTCTGTTATTTCAGCCTCCTGCAAATCTGTCTAGACGTCAGAACCCAGGCCTGGGCAGCTGCTCAGAGGGGCCAGCCTGGGGGTGAGGGGGAGCTGCCTGGGGGCTTCTGGGCAGGGGCTGCTGATGGGAGCTGCTGGCTCTCTGGCCTCAGGGGCCTCCTCCCTCACTCTCAAATGGGAAGTGAGGTAGAGAAGACTGGAGCTTGGCTAGCCTTTGCAATGAAGCTACAATCCAACGATTTCCATCCCCTTCAACAAAGCTTGTGTTGAGGGCCAAACGATGGGCAAAGACTTTCAGACTATTCTGGTGAAACCCCTCAGCTTGCAGTCCAAGAGAGGAAAGTGGCTTGTACTGGCCACAGATAAGTAGCAGAGCTAGATAAGGAATCCAGGCTTGCTGACCCCACAGGCAGGGTCATGGGCAAATTCACGGGAATTTTCGGAAGAAGAAATTGAGGCCCAGGCAGGGGGCGGGACTTCCACAGCCTCTGTGCGTAGCAAGGCAAGGAAAACAATGAAAATACTGCTGGTGTGTGTCAGAGGACAGAGGAGAAGAGCTTCAGGGGCCCCTCAGCAGTGTGTCTAGGACGGAAGGGAGGAATGGAGGGAAGGAAGGGGGGAGGGGGATAGAGGGAAGGAAAACCCAGCATCAGTGCTCCTTGCCATCACCTCTCTGCCCGAAACTACAACACACTTCAGATGAATCAGGTTCTGGGGCCTCAAGGATTCTAGCTTCTCCAAAGAACTTTTGTAAGACTGGGCCACGGATAACTGGGGAGAGGAGAGGGGACTTTCTTCCCTGAGCACGAAGAGAGAAACTGGACCAGAAAGGGGTGGGGGCAGGGATGGATGAAGAAAACAGGACTCTCACGGTCCAGAGGGTGTATCTGCGTCCACACCTTCTTCTGTGCCGAGCATCCACCCAGTCTCCCGTCTGGGGCAATGAGGTGCAACAGTGAGGAGTGGAGGGAGGCTGGTCTTGTCCCCCCTCCTACCAGATACAATGTAGCCTCAGCTAGGGTCAGAGGGCAAGCGCAAATGCTGTTGGGCCAGCTGGCCAGAGAGTTCCCAATTAGACTTTGTTTCTCATCCTTAAGGCCCTGAGCCCCCAACCCCGTCACCCCAGCCCAATTACTGCCAGGCAGCATTAACCCCTTGGTGCCCCAGGCCGTTAATGGAATGTTAATTGGTCTAATGGGTTTCATGTCAACAAGTCCTAATGAGCTCCTTCCTAACGAGCTTGCTATTTTTTTTCTAAGCCTGTTTGTCAACACACTGGAGTTTGGGCTATAGACCCGGGACCTCACCTTTGGGGGGGCGGGGCAAGAGTTGAGGAGACAGACGGAGTGGGTGCTCTAGGGCTGCCCATTCCTACTTCCTAAAGGGGTGTCTTTTTATGCCCCTTCAGCCACCTGCAACCCATGCAACACTGCCTTCCTCAGCTCCCGAGCTCTGTAAAATGGCAGTGTTAGCTCCTTTTGATAATATCAGTGACACAAATTATTTCTTCTTGGATATCACTGTGGGGTTGAATGTTGCATCAGGGTTTTTGTCCCCCCTTCTAGCTGTCATATAATAAAGGTTCTCAGCACTAAGAGCAATCTTTTGACATGAGCCTCTCTTCCATGGGAAATTTCTCTGTGGTAAATCATTGCTCGGTGTCCTCCATTTGCAATCTTGGCTATGCTCCCTCGAGTGCCCTGGTGTCTGGTAACAGAGGACTGGGGCCTCTGGACGGGGCGGAGCAGGCCCTCCGAGCCACTGACAAATGCTGAAAGCCCCTCCGAACTCCCAAAGAAAGTACAAAAAGGGCCAAGCGCCCAGCTATTGCTTAAGGAGCAGCCCCCAGCCAGCTGTGGAGTCCCTCTGGGCCCAGTTTCAGAACAAGAGAAGTCAGATTCCCATGTTCCTCTCCAGGGTGGTTCCACATGGCCCCTTAGCCCCCCAAGTCAGTGGGGGGAACCAATGGGTGAGGGGGGAGCGCATATGCGTGTGGAGTGGTGTGAAGAAAAGAGCAAGCTTCCGGAGATGGGCGTGGGGTCTCCCCCAGTGTCTTGTTACCAGAGGCCTCTGTGCCTGAGTGAGCAGAGAACTGATGAAACTTAAGCCCCTGATGAAAAGGCCTCCTGTTCTCCGGCAAGAGAAGCCCCCAGAGGGCAATGGGTTAGTGGCCTAGTGGCCTGTGGTGACCCCAGAGAGGAGGAGGGGAGGGGCAAAGGCCATCTGGGTCCTCAGAAAATTGTTCTTGTGTCCTCTGGTGAGGCCGGTCTGGCCCCTGCTCACAGCCTGACAGACTCCAGACCGAAAAATCTCCTCAGTCTTGGCAGCCATGGTTGTTTCTGGGTGCAGACAGCTTTTAACGATCTCTCCTTGCAAATATTTCCAGGGACAGCAACTCTAAAGTGCCCCTACCTCCCATTCATTGGACAGTGAACAAAAGAATGCAGATTAAAGACTCTATCTTTAAAAGCCCCAATCCTCCTCATTGAGCGTCCTGTGCTTTGCCTTTAAGTGACCTTCTCATCCGTGGAATTAGGTTACCCTGAGACCCAAACCCGAGGTTAAAGGAAACTAGTTGCCCCTAAGAGGGGAGAAAACCCGCCTAGAGGGAGCTCCCACCCCAGACTCTGCCCCCAGGCTCCCTCTTCTGGAGGCTGCTGGCACTACAGCCCCACAGTGGTTCGCTTTTCGGGGGGCCAGGGATTGGGGCTCCGTGAACGAGGTCCTTAGGCAGGTCCCAAGGCCCCAACCAAAGTTTCCTCATCTACCAGAGTTCCAGGAAAGGCTGGATATCCCTATTTCCTTTTTTCCCTCAGGGTCCAAAAGAGATTCCACACCCATTTCAATATCCAAAAGGTCTTCATTCTGGAAGTTTCTTCTGACATCTCAAGGAGTCTCTATCCTCTTTTTTCCTCAGGAACTCTTTTCACTCTCCTCTTGATTTCCTTGGATGTTTACCGCCACCCAAAGACCCAGCCGTGAAAATAAGCATTGGTTCTCCCAGTCCTGAGGTGGCTGGCTTTCCTGAGGGCTCCTTTCTGAGACTCTGTGAGAATAAAGAATGGATCTGGGTGTCATGTGGGGATGGGAGGGAGCGGAGCGGGGGAGACCCTGAGTGTTTTTGTCACACAGATATCCCAGTGGCCCATCACCGGAAGTAAGGCCAGGGTGGTGAGGTGTAGGTAGCAGTGAGGCCATGGGGAATCCCCTGCAGTCACAGCAAAAGTCCTCTCTTCCTATACAGTCTCCTCCAGAACCTCCATTTCATTTTCCTTGTGCCCGATGGGGCCATCACCTCCTCGACTGATAACACTCCTCAGAGAGGAGATCTTGCCTCCCGTCATTTATTCAACCACACCTCCTCCTGGCTCAGTCCTTTGCATGTAGTTGACACTTGATGACTAGTCCTTGAATGAGCACCTAAATTCCCAATGCTTTGCACACTTAAGGTCAAAGCGTGCCTGATGCTTCAGAGACTCAGTTCAGGCCAGGCTTTCTATGTTCTCTTCTTCCTGGAAAATAATCGAAACAACACCCACACCTTCTCTCTCTCTCTCTCTCTCTCTCTCTCTCTCTCTCTCACACACACACACACACACACACACACCCCACAGGGTCCTGGAGACCAGCCCCTTCCTTAGGCAGCTCCCAAACACCCTCAAGTTCCCACAGAATTCAGGTATGCAAACATGTCAGAAGACCCCTAGGGCAAGGGATCGGCTGGAGGGCCCTCAAGCACAGGGGAAGGAGTGTGTGAGTCTGTATCACAAATGATTCTAGCTTATCAGCACCCTCCACCCAGGAGAAGGACAGGTCCCTTGCCCCACAGAGGTTCTTAGGAGTTTCCAGGTGCCACAATGGACAGGTCTGCATCAGGCAAGGAGCCAGTGCTTTCCAGCTCTAAATATTTCAAGGCATCTCCTGTAGTAAACAGCTTTCCGGGCATTCTGTTTCCTTGGGCGGTGTTGCCAGGCTGTCTCTCCACTTACAGCACTGTGATCTGGTTCGAGAAGAAACCTTGAGGTCCAGCAGGGGCAGCTCACTGCCTGGTGATGGGAAGGAGGGAGGACAGTGGAGGACACAGGGAACAGGAAACCTGGAGATTTGGGTCCAATCCCGCTTCACTGCTCACCCCCCCCCCCCCCCCGCCCGCCAACATCATTCCTCTTGGCCTCTGTCTCTTCCTCTATAAGGAAGGCGTGGACTTGGCTCTGACTGCTCTTCTGGCCCCAGATGCCTGTGACTCTGTACCGAATGAAGGCTAACGAGTCTTAGTAGAATGTTGCAGATACATCCATATGGCCAGTCACAAGCACACACCTAGAATAACTCGGCAAGTGAAGGGGTGCTCACCCGGGCTCTCAGACGTTCCTTTCCCTTCCCTGCGAAGCTCCAACCGGTCACCCCTTGCTGCGGGCTCCACCCTCGGGTCTAAGGAGCCGACCTGCGCCCCGCCTCTCTCTTCGGCCGCTAGGGGGCGTGGCGAGCACACCTGGGAGGGGTTGGTCGGTGCTCGCAGACCCTGGGGCGGGGAGGTGGGACCTGGAAGGACGTGAGGCCTCCTGCCCTTGAGAGCACAGGTGGCTGCTCCAGAAGCCTGGGGAAGGGACAGCGCCCGTGTTCTGTGGGATACCCGAATGGCCGCCAGTGCCCCGTGCTGCCACCAGCCAAGCCCTCCCCGTCGCTCCCCTCTCCAACCAGGCCCCAGCTGATGCTGAACAAAGCGTGGTTGCGGGAACACAGGTTGCTTCCTGCGATTGGAATGTCGTTTCTTTCAAGTCAAAACAGCACAGCAAGCCCCTCCCCACCCAGGCCTCTCCCCCTAGCTCTCATTTGTTCCCCTAAAGGGCCTCAGCGCTTGCTGTAGCCCGTCAGTCCAGGTGGCCCAGCCTGAGAAAATGTCCAGCCGGCCGGTCCCCAGGGCTCCCTGCGCTCAGCGTATTAACAGTGCGGCCCCCTTTCTCCTGCCACAGATCCTCGATGTGAATCAATCCCATGATGCAACATGCCTCCCCAGCCCCCGCTCTGACGATGATGGCCACGCAGAATGTCCCTCCCCCACCCTACCAGGACAGCCCGCAGGTGAGTGTCGACTGACCAGATGGCTGGGAACGGGGTGCGGTGGCCTTCCCTGGGCGGGACAGAGCTAGGCCTCTCTCAGCTGTACCCTGGCGACTCTCTGGGTTCTCTCCCCCTCACCCCCACCTACCCAACTCTGGAGAGCAGGCAAACACAGACCCTGGAGGGGGTCATTGCATTTGACAAACCGGGTTCAGATCCGACTTGAGTAGCTCTGTCACCAGCATCTGGGACCCTTGTCTGGGGCACCCAGTCAAGAGCCTGCCCTACCCCCACCCTGCTTCCCACTCAGAGCAGATAACAGACAAATGCACAGCACTCCTTCCTCAGGGAGATCCGGATGCCGGTGAATCGAGTCTGCGTTTGAGTATCTGGGGAAATTTCTTAGAGGCTCCTTTGTACCAGATCCCCCCTTTACTGGTCACTGGAGCCTTTATGTCCAGTCCTTCTCTGCCTGCCCATTCCAGGAGTCACCCTTCTGTTCAGGATTGTGTCAGCTTCTTTCTAGAAAAAGGCCAGGACTGTATCTCTACACCTGTAGCCCTGTCTCCCTGGTTCCCAGTTTCCATCCCCCACCTGAGACACAGCAGCCCCCCAAGTTCTTCTGAGACCCTTCCTGGCTGCGTCTCTTGGGAAGGTGGCATCTTCGTCCTGTCTACCTGTTGTCTCCTCTCCTCCCTCTAGAGGACTGGCCCGGCTTTGGGGAGTCGGGCTCCCCCCGTCTGTCAGACTGACCACCCCAGGATCTGTGCCCTCCCCTCCCCCTGCGTGCATCTTCCTCCACATGTGGTTCTCTGGAGGCTCTGAGCAAGTTATGCTCTGGGCTCTCACGGAAGCCTCCATTCTCCGACCTTTACCTTCACTTCCTCCTGTTTTCTCTACCTTGGTCTCTCAAGTCAGTATTAATTCAAGAAGTGTTTATTGAGTATCTGTAATATGAAATGTGGCCAGCTAGAACATTCATTCGTTCATTCGTTCGTTCGTTCAACAAACGGGCAGTGAGAGCCAACCGTGTGTCAAGCGGTCCTTCTCACGCTTACCCAGCAGCCGGTCTTTGCACTGCCTGATGTCCCTTGCTCCTTAGCATTTCACACACAGCCCTTCTCAGGGGCCACGTGGAAGATCTGTGCAGCGTGAAACAGATAGTAAGGGGCAGACGCAGGGTGGGCAGGCTTTTGTTCACATTAGGTCCTATGTCCCTGGCACACCCAGCCTAGTGCCAGCATGTAGTGCCTCTCGATCCATCCCTGCCCCCCCCACCCGCCCCAGGGGAATCACCACATTACAGAATGCCCCGCAGGCGGACCACCACTGGCTCCTCTCCCCCTGAAAATCCAAGAGCACTTGTCTTTCCCTGATCTTTGAGCACACGACCTTTTGTCCCCACCCCTGTTCTAACATGTCATCGCCAGTCTCTCCCCCAACCCAGCCTCATATGCGGCAAACCTTCTGCCCACGTCATTAGCTTTCTACGAATGACCGCAGGCTTGGACTTGGCATTTACACGGTCCTCTATTTGAGAGCGTCCGGGTGTGCAGCACTATGTGCGGCCTTCCCCTCCACAGTCAGAATAAAGTCCGGGACCTAGGCACCTAGCGGGGGACCTAGGCACCTAAGGGTCATAATGGGGGGCGGGCTTCATTCTTCCTCAGTGGACACAGATGTCATCCTCTTATCTGCTCAGGCAGTGTTGGGGTCCCCCGGGGTACTGATAAAGGGGCAGGAACTTTGGCTCCGTTTCTTTTGTCATTGGATATGCTCTCCTAGCTCCACAGTAGACATGGGGAATGGACAGGGGGTTGCTTCCTGTATTTAGCCGGTGGTGGGTGCAGAGGCCTGCATACACAGGGCGTGGGGACAGGCAAGGGCGGGGCCACGAGGTCAGAGAGCATTGAACTGGCGCAGCTGGTGGCGGCTGCCTCCCTCCCGCCCACCCCAAGCCCACAGGGGCAGCTGGGAGAAGTTTGGGTTTGGTGGGGATTAGCAGCGGCAGGACCTGTGTTGTCCAAGAATGCTGATCCGGGTGTAGTTAAGAACAGGAGCCTGATTTAACTGTCAGCACACAGCCGAGAACTAACACATCCCAGCTGCCGGGGGAGGTGATGCACATGGGGCTGTAGCTCCTGGGCGCTCAGCCCCCCCGGAAGACACCACTGAGCTGCCTTTTGGGGGAGGAACCGAGGCTCCAGTTCCCCATCTGGAGGCTCAGAGTAGAAGCCCTGTGTGGGGACTATCCCAAGGCTCTCCTCTCTGAGAAGCCGCCAGCACTTGGCCATTGAAAGCATATTTATAGCAAAGGAATACTTTCCCCTGAGGAAGCCACACATCTATCTGTGACCCCAAGGTCCAGGAAGGAAGTGCCGGACAGGAAGTGTCAGTGTCCGTGGTAAAGTGACCAAGCCAAAGTCTGGAGTCCTTATGGCCTTAGCTAGGGCCACTGGACTATGGCTAGACTGCCATGTGCCTTCCCTGAGCCAGCCTGGTTCCCAAAGAAACTGACGAGGTTGGAGGGTCGTGGGGAGTAGTCAGGGCAGAGATGGAATGAGTGGGATGCAGGAGGTGAGTAAGACCCCTGGACAAAGAACTCTGACTCACAGGGAAAGGCTGTTCTCTCCAGGGAGAGCTACACTTTGATGCCAGTTGGCTTTGGTGGGGGGTGTCCTTTCTCCACACACTCTGGGGGCTTCTGGGAGTGGCTCCCATATAGGAATGTCTACAGTGTGAGTCTTCCGCTGGGGAACTTGCTCTGATCCTCCTACCTTCTTCCCTTTATGCTGTCAAGAGGCTGAGCCCAGCTTCTCAGGGGAAGCCCTGCTCCACTGCCCTCCTAACGCTCATTATCCTAGCGACCTAGCTGTTCTCTGACACTCAGTGTCCTGAAAGACGGGCCTAGTAGGAACATGGGTCAGGCACACAGAGGAGTGCTTCCAAAATCAGGCTCTCTGGAAGGGGATTCCTCACTTCCTCCTATTCCTTTAGGTCTCATCCCATTACTTCTAGACCTGGTAGGACTTGTTTCCTCAAGGCCCAGACAGCTAAGCACATCTCTCTGTCACCTCCTTGGAAATCCAGTTTCTTCCGCAGGCAAAAATGGACAGTCTCTGATACGAAGTCCCCAAAACGAAAAAGGAAGCGAGAAGCAGAGCCCTTCCTCTGAGACCCATGCAATCGTTTTAATAATGTTCCCGTTGTGCTAAGGGCTAGCAATACTGAGCATAATCTATTCAAATGCACAGGAGAATCTCACTTTGGAAAATTAGGAATCTGCATTAAAAAATTCCCAAGCCCCGGACCTTCTTTATAATAAATTAGAATTTTTTTTTCAAGGCAAGTTCTTAACTTGGCAATTTCATTTTTGAAGTTTGGGGAATAAAGTTATTAAAAATGAGGGAGGTTTTTTTTTTTTTCCTTCCATTTCAGGAGAGAACCATTAATGGTTATGGACCCACGCTATCTGGGCACAAGCCAAGTGGAATGGTGGCCAAGCAGTCTCTGGCCCTTTAGTTCTGTTTCAGTCCATCCTGGGGAAGCTTTGTGATTACTTGTAAGGATGTCACTCCGTGTTTATTGTGCACTAAAGGCAGACTGTGCAAAACCAACAACCCACTGAAACCCTTCCTGTGGCCTGCTTCCTCCTTCTGGTGGCTTCTGGTTAGCTTCTGTTAGAGTCGCAGCGCCCTCTGTTGTCTAACTACAGTACTTCGATTCCAGCATCATCTCACTTTATGCCTTGAGAGGTAGGGGCAAGTCCCCTGGGGACTGGGGACTTCTACAATGGTTGTCTAATGAAAGCGTTGTCTCCAGGGAGACCTGGATATGAGCTAGGTGTGTGGTCCCCCTGTTCAATACTGCTGTTAATTCCTACATCACTCTTTTTCCCTCTTCGGCATCTCTGCAACAGCCAGCCTGGCCATCTGTCACCTGGACTTGCCCAACCCCCTCTTCCCACCTCCCCAACCTGCCCCCCCCACCCTCCAATCTTAATGGAACTCTAAAAGTTATGTTCTCTACTATTGTCCCCTCCCAGCAAGTCCCCCACACGCACCCCAGGATCTTCAAGGTAACACAATCACCTTCTCACTCCTTCTGGGCATATACCCTTCATTCATGTGTTCTGTCTTCACCTCTGAATGTCATTTAAGTTCTTCAACTTCCCGTAACAGTCCACATGCAATGTCCACACCAAGGAAATTTCTCCCTTCTGCAGTTCCACCAGCAAATTCAGGAAACTGTTCGGATTTAATCATGAAAGCAATAGCTTCCCTCCCTCCCCTTACCCACACACACCAGCCCCTGCTATCAGCAGCCTCCCCCCACTCTTCCTCAAACACAGACACATACCTACCGTTCCACAAATATCTTTGCCCTTGGCTTATAGGCAAGACAAATATTTTATCTGGTCTATTTGTGCATGTATTCAATGTTTAGTATTCCTCTGTCTGCGTGTCCCCAGTGTGTCGGGCTGTATGAGCATTTGACCGGAAAGCAGACATCTTGGCAGGTCCCGGTCTGTCCCGCTAGGCACAGCCCCCTGTGGATATGGGCACTCAGTTACCACTTTAGGAGCAAACTGGTACGTAGGTAGCGTGACTTGATGATGGCGTGATACTAACCATGTTTGGGTCATTCACCCAGGATGCGGCCTCGTGAGTGACCAGAGGGAGGCAAGGCAGGCCAAGTCAGAACTCTTGGATGAGGACCCAGTGTGGGAAGCTCATTTCAGAAGGAAGTCAAGCATTTGCTGGGGCCCCTTTGGCAGAAGCTGCATTCTTCCGTCCCCTTCCGTCCTCCTGCAGCCCCCGGAGCGAGGGGACTGGTGCTCAGGCCCCAGAACACTGTGCGTGGAGATCTGGGGTCAGAAAGACGCTGTCTCACCTCCCCTTCGAGAGGAAGGCGAAGGCCAGGCCAGGCCAGACCCACCTCTGGCGTCTCCCCAGGTACCTTCTTTCCCTCCCTCTCAGAGCACCGTTCCCACTCTGGGCAGGGCCGGGGAACTGACGTCCTGGGGAAGCTGGATGGGCTTTGATCAGTCATTAGGATCCCCATGCTGGTTTCATTAGCTGGAGGCAGAGGGGGTGGCAGGGGCCCCTGGCTGTGAATGGCCCCCATCCAGGCCACGCAGCTGTGACGGGCAGAGCGAGTTCAGATGTTTTCACACTTTACATTCCTCTCATCTCTTGAAGGGCTAGAGCCCCCTGCCTTGCAAGGCCCTCTGCTCAGCTGCCTGTGAAACACATTCGCTTTGCAGCAATAGAGTTAATTCAGCAGCTTTGAAAGTCCCCCTAAACCTTTTCTGTGGTCGTGATTGACGGCCCCCTCCGCCCCTGGGGGCAACCCCCCAGGGACCCTATGGGCGACCTGCCTTCCCTTGCTTTGACTCATCAGAAATGGACTCTTCTCTTTCTTTTTTATTTTTTACCGGGTCTTTCTTCTCTTTGTGCACAGTGACCTCTCTCCTTGGCCTGCTTGGGCCACCCATGTTTTTAAACCAGACATGTCCCTGAACTCCAGCTCACTCAACACCTTCATTCCTCAGTGTGGAAAAGGCAAAGCAGCCTACAGGCCTCTGTGCGCCCCCCCCCCCCCCCCCCACTTAGGAGATGGTAAGGGAGCAAAAGGACTGCTAAGCTTCTGAAGACAAACTCTACCGGTCTTGTCTAGGTTTTTTATTTGATGAACTTATACCTCAATTCTGATATTTACCAAAAACACAGAGATTTTATTGTCTATCCTGGCGCCTCCAAGCAGGAGATGAGTGCCCCAAACAGCTACAAAAATAGTACTTCATGGCCCAAGTACATGAAGCTTAAAATAAATCAGGGAACAGGTGATCAAAGTCTGCAGCGGGCCTGATGAGCACTTGAACTTTCTTTGCCTCCCTTTACTGTGTGATTTTCTAGGAGCTAGGGTGTCTGCAATGGCCTAGAGGGAGGGGGATGGGTGAGCAAGGCCCCAAGGGTGCTTGCTGTCCCTGGAGTTGTGGTCCAGAGAAGTGGGATGACTCCACGTGATAGAAATTCAGGAATCCTAGTCCTTGGCCCAGTGGCACTGCTGATGAATTACACACATTTAGGCCAGTCATTTCAGTACGATCTCTTTCATCCACACATCTATTCAATAAACATCGAGAGCTTTCTTTGATCTTGCAGACCTTGTGCTAAGTACTGGAGATACGAAAGGAATAGTTCGTGCCCTAAGGGAGCTTATGGTCCGTTTTGGCCCTCAGTTTCGGCGTCGGTAAAATGGGAATAACTTGTGCCCTCCCTGCCTCACAGGATGGTTGAAAGTGTGGGCATGAAAAGCAGACTGCTCTTTCCCTGCCTCCTTCTCTCCATGATCCTGACATTGATTTTCACTCACTCTCTTCTGTACATCTTCAGTAGCCAAGATTGCGTTGAACTTTAATTGCTTTTTATTAGGAATATGGTCGGCATATCAGATATTTGTTTCTAGCTCTAAACACACCCCCTCGCGCATGCGCGCACACCCGCGCACACACACTGAGATTCTGATATACCTGCTAACTGTACTGGAAACTAC